TCCCTATTGTTGGAAGAGCAGAAAATTTTCTCAAGTCAAAAAAAAACTAAACGTCATTTGAGGTGTTTTCACATGCTTCGTTGCATGATTTAATCGTTTAAGTCTGAACGTCAATGTAAATGCGAACCTGCGAACCCCGATTGACGTTTCCAAACAAAATTACTGAAGAAAATTGCTATTACTTATATATTTGTTTGTATATGTATATGAAAAAAGGTTGTTATAATGTAGGCGTAACTATAAAATTTGACTTTATGCCGAGTGGGCAGACATAAAAACAAATTGCTTGTTATGGTATGAATTAATATAGGAAAATTGACACATTTGTTGGATGATTGCTTTGAGAGCAGAGCTGCATCAAATTACAGTGACTGAAAAACAACAAATCAGCAAAAAAAATATAATGAATATAAGGCAAAAAAAGTTTTTTTTTACAAATTTTCTTTCACAACAAATGAAAAGTTGCGATGTCTGGCATCATGTTGCAGCAACCTTTTATGCATGCTGCCTGCTAATGCTTCGAATCCTCTTACGAAAAAAGTGTGCTAAATTACAAATTTTCATTTTTTTTTTTGTGATATTTTTTGTCAAGCTGATATCACAATCATGTGATATCAATAATACATATACTGCAGCCGCCGTTGCTCTTTTTAGTGTCATTTGAGATGCTCGGCGTCGAGTACTTTGGCTCATATCGTATGTATAAGCCGCTTTGCTCTGCATAATGAGAACAGGACACGCGTAGGGTGCAAATTGCCTTCGCAATTGTTAATAACTTTATTAAGTATGAGAAAGAAAAAAATATATTTGATCATCAATAATATTTTTTTTTTAATTTTTTCTGATATTTTGTTAAATTTTTACTTTCCCCCAAAAAAATATTGTACACTTTTGTTAAACAAAAACCTTTGCAGACTCGGTAAAGTCTGGTAATTTGATGCGTTGAGGCTTACTTTTTAGTTCACTTGTTTGCGGCTCGACTTAATGATATTTAAATTATAATGTAAAGTAACGAGTGTTTGTTTTTGTAAGGTATTAAATTTAAACAAGGATAATTTGCTTTATATTTATAACAAACAGTTTTTTTTATGAGAACATTAATTGAATAATGACAAGCACAGCTGTTAAAATTGCAGAAGGCTGTCAATAAAAGTCATAAAAAAAATAAAATCCAGAAGAAGCAGCTGTAATGGAATTATATGAATTTTTAAGAATTTATATTATATATAGTAAAGAGCAAAATTATTTATATTAGGATATTAAATTATATATATAATAATAATAATAGTAATAGTAATAATATTAATAAAAATAGTAACTTATAGCGAATGTTATAAAAATGTATAAAGTTTAGAGTATTATCTTAAGATTTCTTAAATAAATATTTTTATAGTCATATGATATACGTTAATAGCATTTGATATTATTTTATGAGACAAACTAGTATATGCAGTATATTATGTATATATATCAATTTAAAACTACAGTTAACTTACACATCAAACATTAACATATTATAAAACTATAATATTAACCTCTATTGCTTTTGTTATAAACCTCAGTTAAAAGTCACATTTAAATCATAAAATCTATACCATAAATAATAGAATGATATAATATAGCACTAAAGTGCTAAAACAAAGCACTGAAATGCGACAGATGTAACCAACGTTGCCAGCTACATTAAAATGTTCACTACAGTTCTGCTCACAAGTTGAGGGTGTAATATTTGCTGCAATATAAATCGTACATAGATGTTTTATTGAGTCCAAACTATTATATATCAAATATATTCCAATATGATTGTAACAGAATACAGGTGTAGTTGTAATAAATGATGTTTTATGTTGATACTCATGTTCCATTGTTTGTTGAACTTTATCCATTGTTTGTCTTAGTGTCGAAATCGTACTCCTCCAATTTAGAAATCAAAATCCTTCCTTGTATACTTCATTTCTACTTTTATTCCCTCAGAAGTAAAAAAAATTTGCTTTCATTTTTGAAATATATTATTCATATATTTTTATTGGCTAAATTTTCTCATTTTCTTCATTAATCAGTTATTATAATTATTCTCATTAAACTTTTTTTAATTTTTGTTTTAATTTTTAGTATACATACAAATATTTATTATTATATAATTAAAAATATTTATTACATTTAAAAATGTAGATCGTATAAGTTGTGTTTTCTTCCTCTTATTATTATTTAAATTATTCATTTTTTTATTTTTTTATCAATATTATAATTTATATATATTTTTTTTGTGTAGTATTTTGATTGCGTTTTAATTACAATTTTGCTAAAAACTAACTTTAAATAAAATTAAAGTTAAAAAAAAAAATTTTTTTAATAATAATAAAAAATAATATAATTCGCTCTTAAAGAAGTATAAAATAATATTGTATATACTGACGTCACATACACCAGGTTGTACATGCAACTATATAATATGCATTTTTTTTTAATTTATAATAAAATATCACCTAAAACAAATTACGTATTTCAGTTGCCACTTCTTGAGTAAGTGGGTTTTAGTTCGTTTAGTTAAGTTTTCTTTTATACCTAATTATAATAACATAATAACAATAATAAAACACAATTTATTATATATATATTGAAAATAAAAATAAAAATATTTTTTAACAAAGCAAAGCTTTTTGAACAATTTTCTCATTTTCTCGCAATTTTTATTAAATAAAACATTTAATTTTAAGCTAAAATAATTTTAAAAATATTGGCCATTCTTTTTTTTAGTAAGTATTATTTTTTTGTTTTTATTTTATGAAATTAGTTGAGTTTTTTTTTATATTAATCTTTTTTTTTTTGTTTAGTAATCCTTAATAGCTTAGCAGCAATTTTAGACCACATTTTTTTAGTACACTTTAATTTTAAAGACAAAGTACAACAACTATTTTTTATATATATTTTTCATTTAATTTTTTTTCGACATACAAAAGCTTTAAACTTGAAGCTTCAGCAAAAAATTAAAAAAAAAAAATAATAATTGCTTTAATTTATTTATAACGCGATTTTTAACTTTATACATTTTGATTTTTATAATTATTATTATTATTATTATTTTTAAAATATTTACTTTGAGTTTAAACTTAATTTTATAAAAACTAATATTAATATTATTATTCATTATTCGCCCATATAGCTTTTTAATTTTTATTTTTATATATACTTTAAGCACTTGAGCTTAGTTTTACTTTTAAGTACAAGTTTTCAAACATTTTGTTTTATTTTAATTTAAAAAAATAAAATGTTTATTGTTACATTTTTATGTATAAATATATATATAATATTTATATTTACTAGGAAATCGTATATACTTTTGTGTAACAAGAAAGTCGACCAAAAGTAGTATGGCGTCGCTTAAACTTGACCATTGAATATGGCAACTCTGCAGCTTAGGTTTAAAGTTTAAGTTTAACTTTTTTTAGTTTAAGTTTTCTAATTAAAATTTGAAGAGCATAAGGAATTAAAGGTTTCAAGATTTTAGGATTTTTTCTTTAAGTAACTTTTAAGATTTAAAAATTTAAAAACATATTCTTATAGCAATAAGTGTTATTTTATAGTAGAAAGGAAAAACTAAATGAAATTAGAAGGAAACATATAAATATTTTAAGTTTTGTTTTTAATGTATCGTATACTTGCATTTGAACTTAAGTTTTTTGAATTTACTATTTAAATATTTATAACTAACTGTATACAAATTTTATTTTAATTCATATATAATATATTTTACATATACTTTTTTATTGGTATAACCGAAGACATTGTTATAATAAAACGGAAGAATATGTACAAATTAGTATAGATGATAAAGAAAAAAAATCAAAATCGAAATAAAAAAACTGTTAATAAACTAATATAACAAATAATAAAAAAAAAATAGACAAACTAAAAAAAAATTAAATATTGTAAACAAAAAATAAAAAAAAGAATAAAAATATTAAAAATAATTTAAGAATATAAAAAAAAATTAAACAAAAAGGTTGAAAATTTAAAAGTAAAAATTATACGAGTAACTTTTAAAATTTTTAAAACTATATTAAAAATATTAAGGACATAAGTAGAAACATATTTTAATAATGTTTTTAAAAATATACTTCAATAATCTAATCCAAAAATATTTAAAACAGATTTCGAAACACTTTAAAATAATAATTTCAAAATTATATAAAAAAATATATTTTCGAAAATATTATTTGAGCAGTATTTTTAAATAAATTAAAGAAAACTTTTTAAAGTAAATATAAAAACAAGAAAATTATTTTTATATATAGTAAACAATGTAAAAGAAATAAGTTTGGTATATATTTTTTTTTCATTAAAATGAAGAAAATAAAATCAACTAATTTAAAAAAAAAATATTTATCGATAAAAAAATTAATAAAATAAATAAATTAAAATTTAAAAAAAAAGAATAAAAAATGAAAATTTTGTTTAAAAAATATAAAAATAAATATTTTATATTAAATATTTTTGGCAAGTTGAACAAAAAAAGGACGTGTTAGTTTTGTTATATATTATGTATACGATTATACATAACACATAGGTATACATTATTCTATATATAATTAAAATTTTATTTTTTTAAGAAAAATCGTATACATTGGTTTTATTATGTATTTGTTGGGTTTTAAAAACATTCAAGTTTATGAACAATAAATAAAAATATTTTTAAATTAGCATTATTTATAATATTTAATATATATATATATATAGAGTTTATTTATACCTAACCGCTAATTTTAGTTATAATTACTTTTTAAATATTTATATGTATATATATATATATAAAATTTTATTATTATTTTATAAACTTTTATTGTTAAATTTAATTACGTATATTTGTTTCCACAATTTGTTTTAGTTTGTTGCGCCCTCAAACCTATCTTAGACCTTTAATATAATAAACTATGTAAACTAATGCTTTCTTTTTAATATACACATTTATATTTTTTATTATTATTTAATATATAAAAAAAATTATATATTTCGTATGCAACTTGTTCAGTCATTAAAGAAAAATTACGTATATCGTTCTGCATTGCTGCATTTTTACTACTTTTTTTTTTACTAAAATTTAGTAGTAAAATTTAAGCACATTTTTATTTGTTTTTTTTTTTTGCTTTTTTATTAAATCATTATAGAAAAATGTATTATCTATAATTGTTCTTGTTATTTTATTAGCAGGAGCTTTGAATGGAAAGTAACACTTTTCGAAGAGAGTTCAAAATACTAAGAGACTTCTTGTATTATAAAATATGGTTAAGATCTGTTGTTCGTTTAGTGAAATAGTAAAGTACTAAAAAAGTTGACATTAAAAGTCGATTTAAAAATCATTTTTAATAAAGTATACATTCATAAATGGCTTCAGTAGAAATCCTGAAAACTTTAGCAAGGAAGACACAGATATGGTTGCTAACATCACTATTAGACCATATTTTTAAACAATAATAAAATATATTGAATATAATAAAAACAACAAATTTAATAACATTGAATTGTAAGTTTACAGGTAACTAGGCCAATTTTATAACAGAGAAAGCTAGTACCATAGAACTATTTCTTTTGCTATATCTGAATATATTAAGCCTCACTAATTATGCAAAGCTCTAGGCTAACTGTGCTAAGCTGTGGATCCGTAGAGCAGTTACTTTATATAATCTCTTTTGTTTATTCAGTAAATCAGTAAGACTGATTTCCATTAGTTGTTAGGGAGAGTAATAAGAGCTAGTAAGAAGAATTAGTAACAAAGAATTGTTAGTTAACATGAGGCATATCAAGTCAACTGTTATATATATACATGTATAAATAGCTATTGTTTACAGAATAACAAGAATATTGCATATTTTCTATATACTAGGATAATTGTTAATGCAACTTACTGATTAATAGCTAATAGATAATGTTAATTAATTGTTAAAATCTTTATAGCTTTATAATCAATCCAAAATTTTGTTAGTCCTTTACTATTCACAACGACAATACCTTAGTCTTAGTTTCTCAGTACTTTTTTCAGTGTTTTTTTTTTTCAAAATTACTTCCCTTGTTTTTTTTTTCACTTTTCTCAAACACTTATCTTCTTTTATATACTCCATATATTTTTTAAAATACATAAAGACTTCATACAAAATGGTTTTAAATTTTATTTAAATTTTTAAAAAACCTTATAAACACACTAAAAGTCCGCTTCATTCTTAATACGATAATTTCGGTAAGTTTGTTCCAAAGGTGAGAATTGTGAATTGCTATTGTCCTGCTCTCATCAATATTGCAAAATTAATTTTAAAGAAGAGAAAAAATCAAAAAGAAAAACATTTAAATACTTAATAATATGTACTACCCACTTCAGTAGCAAAATTGAAGGGACTAAAAATTGAGGAGCCCAAAAAACCGTTTCTAGAAAAATATATCAAATACCTAAAATGCCAACACCTCTGTGGCATTTAAACTATTTACAACAAAAAACAATAATTGTTTTAAAAAAGAAATGTTAAAATTTGCTAGAAAATGTTTTTTTTATAAATTTTAAAAATATTTAAGAAGTGCCATGATTTTTTAAAGTGTATTTATGTTGCAATGACATTCGTAACTGTTGAAGTTTTCATTAACTAGTCAAGTTTTTGGTAACCAGTTGTTTGTTGACATTTAAAGCAATAGTTAACTTTCTAAATAGCGAGTGTATTCATCTAAAGTACTAGTAAATTTATATTAAAGAAGTTTCCAAACGATTAAGTAACTTTTCACTGCTAAAAAATTAAATGAATATATTTTTTTTGCAATAAATTTTTCTCAACTTATTTGCAATTTACTAGTTAACGAAAAAATATACAAAAAAATATAGGGTTTGAATTTGCTTGATAAAAATCAAATTAGTTATTGGTCTAAAGAAAAACAGGCAGTTACTTATTGTCAAAAATGTTTACTTGCAGCAGAGAATATGTAACTTAGTTCTTACTTTTCAACTAAATTTAGTGATTATTGACTTAAAATCTATTCACTGACAAAAAAAGTTTAGAAATACCATAATAGGCAAAAAGTTTTATAAAAGACTTTTGCTAATATAATTGTTGCACTTGACTTCAAATCAATTCGTTGACAACAAAAAAACCTCGCTGATATGATACTGGCTTTTAATGTAAAATTAACTCGTTGACAAAAAAAAATTCAATGATATAAAATAAGCAGATATTTATTAGTACTTTTGTTAACCGACTAGTAAAAAAGTAACTCGCTAAGTACTTTGCAAGCAAAGAAATATTTAATAATGAACGAGTTGTACTTTAAAACTAACGAGTTATTTTATCGGTTAAAAAAAAGCCTTGCCTTTATGTCAACAGAATTTATTTACAAGAATATCATCAAAGCTCCTACATAAACCAAGGGTTTTAAACAGACAGCTGCTTTCTATAAATGAAATTTACTAGTTATACCAAAAGCAACTAGTTTCAAAAGTCAAATGAAACAATTAGTTACTTTCTGTCTATGAAACAACTAAATATTTCACTAAACAGTCACTTACTTTTTGTCAATGCGCTACACTTTATGAGATGGCAATTAAGTTTGAAAATATTTAAATTTGTTAATAATTTGAAAGTATTAGTTTTGTTTAAATGTGCTAATATCATATTAAAATTAATTGGAAAAAAAAAATAGAATTATAAAATAATAAAATAGTTTAATGTTATTTAGTATATAAATATATATATATATATAAAATATATTGGCGAGCTATATGGGCCTCTTGCAAAAACGAAGTTCTTTTTCTTTTCAAATTTTACTCAATTTCTTGGTTTTGTGCTTCACTTTAGTTTAATAATTTTAACTTTTTTTAAGTTGTGGTACTTTTTCTATTTTTTGTTGTTATTACGTTATTTTTATACAAAATTTCTATTATTTTTGCTAAATTTTTATGCAAAAAAATTAGTTTCGTTATTGGAATTCAATTTTTGTTTTCTTTCATTTAATTTACAAATTCAATAAAAATTTTTAGCAAAAATTTTTCTCAACAAAATTTAAACAAAAAACAAAATTTACAACAAAACAATTATTTCTCTCAGTGCACATAATTCCCAATTATTATTTTTGTTAACAAATGTTTTTTTTTCTGTTCTTGTTTTTGTTTTTGTTTTTGTTTTCTGCACTGTTGAAAATTTATTGCTGCACGTATAGAAACAATGTGTATGTGTGTGTGCGCCATATTTGGGACTTTTTGTTGTTGGGAAATTTGTAGTTGTTTGCTGGTTGGTTGGGTGGTGGTGGGTGGGCGTTAGCTTAAAATTACTTTTTTTGTCTGCTTTATGGGTAGACAAAATCGTAGTAAAAATTCTGATTTATGTACTTTTAGCAAAATTGTGTTTTTTGCGATTTTACTAAATTTTTTGCTAATCTTTTTTTTGAAGGTTTGAAAATTTGTTTGACTTTTTGGCTTGCTTTTGTTTAATTAAATGGGACAATATCCACCAGATACTTTTACGCGCTTGTTGTTGTTGCTTTGGGAAATTTATTTTGTATTGATTGAATAAATTTTTTTTAAATTTATTAATTTTTTTGTTTGTTTTTTTTTTTTGGTGTTTTGTATCTGTACGTGCGGCAATAGTTGAGTTGTTGTAATTTTTCTTGTTTTTTTTTTTTTTTGTTTAAATTTTGTTGATTTTTTATGCAATTTTTGTTAATTTTTATTTTTGTTTGGTTTTTAATTTTGTTGTTGGTTTAATTTACAATTTTTTGTGGCCATGTTTCAAATTTTGTTGTTTTAAATTTATGCAATTTTATTTTATTGTATTATTTTAAAGTTATTTTATTTTAATCCCAGGGCATTGTGAGCACCCGCTTCGTTTTTGCAAGAAGGTCGTTATCGTACTACGAACATGGGTGCACCACCGCATTGTAGCTCGCCAATATAGGACCATGTGCTCCCGCGAAGGGGGTACTCACAACGTCTGGTGTACTAGCTCCATCGGTGTGCGATGTCGAATCGGCATTACTTCTTCCTTCACCATTAGCTGAACCTAATTCTGGTGGTTTGGTGGTGTCCCGTTCGTCAATCACTAAATCTATTGGCATTTTACCCTTTAAACATGAGATATATCGATGACAGAAATTATCGCATAATTCATGTACCTGCAATTGTACAAGCAGAAAAGAGAAGACAACACATTACAGATTTTGTTTGTACGTATTTTTTAAAAATTTTTTTAATTTTTTTTGTAAATAAAATTTTAATTGTTTTTTAATGGTAAAAAAAAAATAAATATACATTAAATTTTAAAAAATTTGTTTATAGAATTTTGACCTTTAATTACTTTTGGGTACTATTTTTTTGTAAAGTGATAACTTCTTTTATAAGACTTATTTATGTGTAAGCCAACGAATGCTTTTATGCATGATCTAGTTCTTGTATTCTTTTTTTAAGGATCCTATGGTTTTTGAAGAATATATCAAGTATTTTAATTTGTATAAAATCGATAATTATCAAAAAAATAACCTAATACAATAAAACGTTGGGTAAATGCTATTTGCGGGACACTGTTTAGGTTTTTTTTCATTTTGTTAAATTAAAATTAATTTTAATTTATACATAACATAAATTAATTATAAATTTGTGATATATGATTCAATTATAAGCATTATATATAAATTTAAAGAATAAAAAAAAATGCAATACACAAGTTTAAAGATCATAAAAATTGATTAAATGTAAACCTTATAATTATGTTTTTTTGTAAACGATTTTAAAAGAACACCCTTACGTTGCTTATAAAAACAAGTTTTAAAGTTATAAAGCATCATTAAGTCATATACGAAAACCAAGTCAATGAAAATACTTTACGAACAGTAGCTGTGTCACGAACATTAGCTGTTTGTGAAACTACATCCATTGATGAACTATTGCATTCCACCCTGTCCATATATATTCAAAAATTTGGGAAGAAAACCGGAATGAAGATATATGTTATATAAAACTTTTAATGTGAAGAAATATTCATATTAAACATTAGTGCTACAAAAAGGATTAATATAATTAAGCGAACTAACATCTAGGTCATGTCGTGAAAATGTGTCAAGAAGTTTCCGAGAAAAAGGTATTTCAACTTGCTTAGAAATAGATTATGTCATCGTTAAAGTTATCGAAGAGAGAAGCTGGCACTAACATCCAGCTGTTTGGCTGGCTTAGTCATGTCGTGAAAATGTATCAAGAAGTTCCAGCGAAAAAGGTATTTCAACTTGCTTAGAAATAGACTATGTCTTCGTTGCAGTTATCAAAGAGAGAAGGCTCTTCACTTTCTCTGACATCACATCCAAAGAAGACAGGTGATGATTTTTTCAGTTCTGCTACTGTATCCACTTTTTTGTCTCTCTCTCTTGCGCTGTCTCTCAATGCTAGCAAGTTACAATAGACTGCAGAGGAAACGAAAGATGATTCGGATAAAAGTTTTAAATTGAGAAACTACTAAAATTTTATTTAAGTACCCTACACTAATATAAAATGCATCATAAATTTAATATATTGTTAAAATTCCATTCCTAAATAAGCCATAAAGTAACATATAAAGACATATGCAAAGATTCTAATTCAAAATATTAAATCAAGATATTCAGTTCAAATTGATTAAATGCTCTTAAAATGCATATCAACTTCCATTATAAAAATATCTTAAATATTTATGTTTTGAAGATAATAGTTTTTTTATAATTTTTGTAATATTGCAATTGCATTCTTGCACTATTTAAGAACGGTATGTTACATATATCTATATAACTAAACATAAATACATACCAAAGTACTATAAGCCAATACGTCAGCAAGGAATTTCGTATGAAGTACAAAAGGTGACTTAAGGAAATTAATCGACAGTTATTTCAGAAATATCTCCATATAAGCAGTGCATAATGCAGCGGCATTAACTGATTTATTGCGTGCATAAAATGGCAACAAAATTTACAGATACGTACATTGATCCAAACAGTTAATGACAAATGGGCATATATAAGTTACATATAACCCATTACACATATTACCACCCAAGTGTCAAGCACACAGAGAGTATAGCCACACATAAATACATCAGTAAAAGCATGTTTATAAGACATAACATGTCACATGCAACATTGACAAATTAATCAAAAATTTATTATGAACAGATAAAATGGCAGCACAAGTGGCAGGCAGTGGCAGTACGTCGTACAGCTGAAGGAAGTTTAAATTGAACTCGAAGTGGTATAATATTGACAATAATATGCAGCAATAAGAGAAGAAAGCGAGCCAATACAGCACAGCACAGCACAATGTAGATATCCGCTTGCAGTACAAAGATGTCTATCAACAAATGCAGCACAGCTTCATCAATGAATGTATGGCAATGGCAACAATGCTGCTGCCATTGTTGCCGTTGCTGTCGGTGTTGCTGTGCTCGCACCAAAAGCCATAAACATATCAATTCAAAATTTACGATTGCGATTACGTTTGCATGAGACCGGGAACTGTACACATATAAATAAATACGTATGTATGTATGTATGTATGTATGTCTGTATGTATGTATGTATGTGTTATATGTTTATGTCAAAGTGTTGCTGTAATTATTTAAACATTTTAACTTAATATTATTTTTATTATCATTGTTATGATTTTTATGATGTACGTGGTATGTGAGTAAAGTTAAGTGATATGCTTGCAAAATGTTGCCAACATTTATGTTTATACACAAACGTATCACAGATAAGCTGTATACTATACACTACAACCAATTACAGGTAGACTGGTAAGCTGTAAATTGATTTGTAAAATATTTATAAATTTTTTATGGTGCATGTTGTTTGATACTTAAGCAACAAGTTGCTTGAAATATATGCTAAATAATAATTACAATAAATTAACATTAATGGCAAAAGTAAAATGTGTACAAATTGACACTCAAGCTGTGGTAAGGCTGTTCGTAATTTTACTGTTATCGTTATTTAACTGTTATTGTTTTATTGTTCTTGTTGTTGTTTTTGTTGTAAATGAAAAATATTGTTAATAATTACATTTATTGTTGCTGTTCGTTAAACGTTGGTAGCAGCAGCAATACATTTGTATGCATTTTAACTGTGCAAGGTTTTAAGTTCAACTTAAAGCAGGATTGACCCAGTCTCAAATGTTTATTTATGACAGTGGAAAAGTGCCACTGAGCGCAGTTATAGCGTATAACAGCCAGCCAGCAGTAACATACATTGGAAATTGTAATCAAAACTAACTGTAGTTTTAGTATATATTTAGTGTAGATTTAGTATTAAGTTTTGTTTTGTTTTTTTTTTTTTTGATTAATTTTTTTATAGTTTTGGTGACAATAACAGTGACCGCAACCGTGTTGCAGCAGCAGGAAATCTGACACAAGCTGTTTTAAACATATTGCAAGCTACAGTGCAACAAGCAATGCTTTTGCTATTTTGCAAACAAGACAAACAAGATTTTTAATGCAACAACAACAATAATGTATAAAATAAAAAAATTATACAGAAAAAAAAATCAAAATAAAAACAAATTTAAAAAAAAAAATTAAATAATATTTTTTTAATATTTTTTTAATTGGCTTAATAAAAATATGTGTAAAATATTTTTTTAATATTTTTATATTTTATATAGTTTTAAACATACAACACATAAACAATATTTAATAGTTAATAAAAAAAATAATTATTATTATTGAAATTAATATTATTAAAATAAAATATAAATACATATAAGAATTTAAAAAAAAATGTATACTAAAATTCAATTTGAGAGACATACTGTGTCAGGCCAAACCCCGGTAAAATTTAAAAAATATTGACTTAATCTTATATATATATTTATATTTACATTTAGATCGGAATAACAAATTATGAGGCTTAAATTTTATTTAAAAAAAAATGTAAAACAAAAAATATTTATTACTAAAATACATAATATTGTTGCCATTTCTCTATTAATTTTCCTATAAAATTATATTTATATAAATCTTTATAAATATATCCTATCTTTTGATATAGTCATAAAGGCTTTTAAAAATGCTTACATTTAATTTTTACACATATTTGCATACGCAACATAAGTTGCTTACGCACTCATATGTATATAATCTCAGTTATGTATATATACATGCATCGCTACTACAGTAGCCATACTACTAACTTGAGTTTAGAGCTTTTACATGTGCTAAGTGTTTTGGTAGTGAATTTTAATGTTTATCGCTTTTATTTTATCAAGAAAACGCATTTTTACAAAATACAACAATAACATTAACAACAACAAAAACAGTAACAGAAATAAACAACATGTTGCGCTAAGCACTCATCGTGTTGCGGCTATGCCTGCCACGTCCGTCTGCTGTGGTAACGTCAGTTTTCTTCTACTGACTTGGTTTTAAGTATGCGCCTGCATATTTGCCCTGAGGCGCACAAAACTTGACCCAAACAATACAATTTGAGTAGGATTTTTTTCTTTTTGTTTTTGTAATTCTACAGCAACTTTGCATATTGATACCAGTTTTCTGTTAAAGTCACTACGCAACATTTTTGTTTGGCTATCAGCCACAGCGGGCCTAAAATGCATTTGTTGACTTATGTGTCGCAGTTCAATTTACTGAATTTTGAGTAGTTTTTCAATTTTTGTTCTTTTTTCCTTCATTTTTTAGCTGTTTTATTTAATTTTTGTATTTCGCGCGCCATTTTTGCTAAGTGGTTTTTTTAATTTATTTTTTTTTAATACAAAACTCATTTGCATCTCATTTTGAGCAGACATTTTTGTTGTTATAATAGTACGGGCAAGGCAGCATGTTGCTAAAGTGTTGTAAGCACATTTATTGATAAGTTTAAAGCTTTAAAATTATTTGATCTACTAGCTATATAAGTTGTTTGTTAGCATGTATGCGCAAATACGATAGATCAAAGTCTGTGGAACTTTGATACCAAATTAGAGTTTATAACCCTGAATTATTAACAAAAGTACTGCAGTATATTAGTTGGCAGTTAAACAAGACACTATAACGCATGCAAAGATTGTTAGAAACCGGACATAAAGAAAACTATGTAGCTTATTCTCTGTTTTTGTACTACTCTCTCAGAAACTCAAGTAATATTCAATGGTTCAATCAATATTT